CCACCACCACCACCACCACCACCACCATCACCACCATCACCACCACCACCACCACCACCATCACCACCACCACCACCACCACCACCACCACCATCACCACCACCACCACCACCACCACCACCACCATCACCACCACCACCACCACCACCACCACCACCATCACCACCACCACCACCACCACCACCACCACCACCACCACCACCACCACCACCACCACCACCACCATCACCACCACCACCACCACCACCACCACCACCATCACCACCACCACCACCACCACCACCATCACCACCTTGAACTGATTCCGTGGAGGATTCAGGTATATTTCCGCGGTATTATTTCACATTATCTATCAAATTCTGTTCTTAACAAAGTTTAGAAATTGGAATATTTTTGCTTTTCATTCATTTACCACACGAATACCCATAGATAGTTATTGTTACTCAAGCAGAAGGAAAGACTGCAAAATCTTAGGTGTTAGAGTAAGGAATATTGTCATGGAATGCTTTGTAACAATGAGTTCTTCATCCCGAGTCGTTTGTGTCGCCTAAAGCGGGAAGGAACAGTGAAGGAGATTGCAGCGTTGACGAACGCAGGATATAAACACTCGTGATGTTCTTGGGTGTGGGTTTCACTCCTTGGGAGGTCATTAATGCCCCACAATTTCCTGCATTTGCATGTGGTAGGAATGTTTGTGATAACCAACAAAGAGCACTGGACAGCTGTTTCGTCCTGTTTGGGACTCGTCAGCAGTGCATCATCAATAGTGCCTGGTGCCTGTGAAAAACCGAATGGGTTGATCCAAACATTCACCATCTAAAAGGTAAAATATGCATATTTTTGTTTAAATAAGTGCGTTTGATCCGATGGCAGCTCCAACGAAAATGGTAGCTTCCAATAGGATTACAGCAGGTCCGCCAGTGACACACACCGGTAACCAGTTCAACAAACGACATAGTGGCCAACTATGTAGCATATTTGCAGTCCCCAAACTGGTACAGATGGATTTGCCATATTCCTGATATGGAACAAGTTTGAAACAGGTGTGCCAGCTTTTCTATGGATTTTCAATTCCAGTTTCCGTTTGCTTTCGGATATTTTCACCAAAACACCCTCAGGCAAAATCAATACCCGGAAGCATTGGGCAACTGTTGCATGGATCAAATCCGTGCACGAACGAATGATGAATTGTCCGAGCTTGCCGTGTGACTCCGTCCAACCGACTGCCATTTCAATCACCACTTTAGGCATGTGATGCAACTTAGGAAAGCAAACACAGGTCAAGAATAAATATATACATGTATGTTTCCACCTGCGTTTTGAGCACTCTAGATTTGACACATTCAGTGCTTANAACTGGTACAGATGGATTTGCCATATTCCTGATATGGAACAAGTTTGAAACAGGTGTGCCAGCTTTTCTATGGATTTTCAATTCCAGTTTCCGTTTGCTTTCGGATATTTTCACCAAAACACCCTCAGGCAAAATCAATACCCGGAAGCATTGGGCAACTGTTGCATGGATCAAATCCGTGCACGAACGAATGATGAATTGTCCGAGCTTGCCGTGTGACTCCGTCCAACCGACTGCCATTTCAATCACCACTTTAGGCATGTGATGCAACTTAGGAAAGCAAACACAGGTCAAGAATAAATATATACATGTATGTTTCCACCTGCGTTTTGAGCACTCTAGATTTGACACATTCAGTGCTTAAAGCACAATCAATGACGGTGCTCACTATAAGAGAATAGAAATGACTACTTTTGGAGACTAGAGATAATACAGCAATCGAACTGTGCTCCTGATTCGAACCGACTTGTGTGAGCACATTGAAAGCTGGGTCCTTGTGCGAATGGATCAGTCAGGCATGCCTGAGTCCTTGGTCTCCAGTCCTTTGGTAATAAATTAAAGCATAGTGAGTCCAGGTGATAACGATCGCAAAACACTAAAACACGAATATGCTTTCCAAATTAAGCCATTGTGCAATCAATCAACCATCGAATGGGCTAATTGAAGCTTGATACTCTAAATTGATTGAGCCATTCACACAAGATGATAACCGTCGGCCGTGTAGCTCAGGGATTACGGTTTGAAGTCCAAACCCGACTGATCCCGGTTCGAGTCCTGGTAGGAACACAAAAGTGCACACTGCTGACGAGTCTCAAGCAGGACGAAACAGCTATTCAGTGCTCTTTGTTGGTTATCCCAAACATTTCCATCGCATTTCAAAGAACTGAAGGTTAATTCTACGGTTAAAGAGCAGCGTGGTAAAACAAACATTCTCAGATGTCTTCAAACACAGTGGTGACTGATTACATAAAATCGCTTTGGGACAGAACGAACTGTATGAGACCAGTGAGTAATCGTATTGAGTAATAGAGCTAGTATAACAGTGACAGAAAATGACACGTGTAATACAGACGAAAGTGGGGTTTTCTGATCGATCGAATGTAACAAAGAAGTGAGTTAGGCTTGAAGATTACTCAAGGGTAACTGTGGTATCCACAGTTGCTATTTACTTGCTCCACCACTGATAATAGCTTAGTTCTACAAGGCGAAATACATATAGGGACTATTGAAACTACTAGTCCTACGTAAATATCTGCCGATTTAGGCATTTAAATTGTGAATAAATGTTCATGTTAAGCATGAAAAGGTTCATTTTTGTCGAATTTCCCCTTTGAATTGTCTTTCTTGAATGTGATCATATTACAGTTATGTTTTATTCTTGATCTTTCTCGTCAACAAGTCCTGTAATCTTGCACCGGAAGAAACTACAGCTGACAATATTATGCGAAAAATCAGATGAACCAGACTCAGTAAAAACTGAATGTTGTCTTTGTCATGGTATTTCACATCACAAACTATTCCCAGATATATCTTAAAGATATACTAGACATTTTAGTTGAAATATTCAAATATTTTTTTTTAATTGCATTAATTTCCGTTCCACAGAATAGCTCCTTCCTATTTTATTGAGTTAATTCTAAGGCCCCGTCCAAGGATCGATAGAATGATGCTCACTTAGAGCATCGGATTGCTACAACATGGTCTAAAAGTTAGTGGCCACTGAAAGAGCACATAACTTTTGACTGCATCCTACGTATGGAAAGAAAAAGAATGTTATGCACAAAAATGATTCCGTTATTCCAAACTGTATGGTCACATCTAATCAAATTGGTTTTGGTTCGCTGTTATGTTGCTGTTATGAGCTCTAGCCGTTTAGAAACTGCTTCTACCAAATACACATCAGACAAATTTTGCCATGGTAACTATCATTATTTTCGTCGATTGGCCTACCGGTCGTTTTTCCCAGATTGTAACTGATTTGTTCTCCATAAACCAAGTAGACGGTTTGGTTAGATTTCTTCAAATTGTTTTGTACGCCTATTTTTGGCTTCAAATATTCCAAATATTTCAGGCTTTCAAGCTGATTATTTGCAAAGTGATGACATTTTTAATGTGATGCAAAATGTAACTTGGGCGATCAAGTGCAAAAGGAGAAGCGTGTTCATAGTATTCAGCTACGAAGATGACTGAAGTGAACAAAGAAGCTTCAGTTGCATATGCATTCACCCAAATCCACCACAGTTCCAATGTGTAGGGGTACATTTATTGATCTTCGATAATTGGATACCAATCGCGAGCACTTTATTCCTATTTTGTAACTTGTGTAAGCTTGTGTGCTTATATTTCAGTCAAAAATGTACACTGATTGTTATGCCAAATAACGTATGCAATTTCAAACAACATGCAACGTGAAGTTTGTTTTATATACACAAGTCTGGACGTAATTTTTTAACAACCTGTTCTTTAATCGTTAGGAGTCGGACCAAGTAAGGAACAACAGAATTCTTATAAATGTTTATAAGGGGTGTAGGTGCCGTAGAGTGGAGCGTGTGGGCAGATGTGAACACCAAAGGATGGATCAGGATGAGGTGGATGAACAGAGTCGTCTAGCATCTTATTGGCACATTTAATTGATGTGATCGGCAATAAGTTCTGTGAATAGTGAATCCACGCACATCAATTATACATGACTGGTTATCAATAAACTACGACGAATCGCTATGAATTCTTCTTTTAAAAGTCTGGTAGACATTACAGGCGATCAATAGAGTAGAATGGGGAAAACGCATTGATGAACAAAAGAGGATAAAAGTGACCGTGGCGTTCAGCTTTGCCTGAGTTTTCGGAGCTGAAAAGAGAGATGTTTCAGTTTTCCCAGACAAGTGTAAATGTGTGTGGACCGCGAGAGATAATCGTCGGTAGTGAAACCCACGTACTTGACAGAGGTCATTTCAGACACGGGTTCAGTTAAGGGTAGCTGAGTCTGCTGGAAATTTAGAGCGGGAAAAACTGAAGACGTATTTGAGGCAGTTGGATGTGGTAAGATCAAGACCAGATTGATTAAAAAAGTTTTGGATTTCGGATAGATTTTTCGTGAATGAATCGAATTCAGAAGAGAAAATTATTTGACATAAATCGATATGACTGTGAGGAGACCATTGGGAGGAAAATCAAGCATGAAAGTTATCAGCTTGAACAAACTGGGGAGTTAGGGTCGTTAGGAAAGCTGAGTCTTCTTGTCTCGGTGTTACTGCAATATCTTTACGGTTCACTCAGAGATATCCCTTCTTTGCTATCCACCGAAATACAAATATGCACAAGTAAAAGTATTTCGCTTTGCATATTCAATCGTCGAGTGATTCACAGGTATATGTTCCCTTCTTCCCTTCGTTTATTGAATACGTAATGATAATTTTCAGAAAGGGGGAAGCAACCAATCAAAGAGTTGCCGTACAAACCAGAATAGAGCAAGTCAGGCGGTGTTGGTGTGTTTCGAACATGTCCTCTGGGGTGATAATTTGGTGACGTTACCACAGCACCACCACCCACGCGCATTCTCACATCATTCATATCCTTGTACCAAGGAAGTATATTTTCGCAAAAACAACCCTGTTTGAGACACTGGGTAAATTTACTGGGACAGTTATTTCATAAGCAGCAGATTTGTAAATCAATACTATGAATGGACGTTTTGTAGATGGGTTAGATGCTACTAATCACAAAACACGTAGTCAAAGCGTCTTTCTAGAATAAGTATATATATATACATATATATAGTCTGGTAGATTCACCGAATGTCAACCTAAATCAAGGAGTTACATTCCTGTTCGTCTAATGACTGGAGGCCATTATAATTGGTGGGCACATAAGTTTGGGAGAGGACGAATAATAGAAATCAGGCTGTTGAACCGATAAATCATTATTCTTATTGTTCAAGCACGATTGTCGAATGCGTATTCATAATTACATCTATCATACTATAACGAATGATAGGATGACCGCGGCAATTCATTGTGTTCGATATTCAGTACACTTCTGGATAGCAGCCTGGTGGGAAGGGTGACGAGATCTAGTATTTCTTGTCACGTTCACTTCAAAGTACTGATCTCAGACAATATTTAAGTTGAAAAGACTACCAAAGCGTTTTTCCAAGAAGACAGTGTATCTATATCTTCCCCGAGTTTTGCGAGCATCACGGTAGAAAGGCAATCCCACTGTGATCGCGGTTATTCACTCCCAAATCAAATGATCATTTATGGTATAAGCCTGGAAGGAAAGTGGATGAAAGGCTACAATACAAATCTCCGTGTGATAGAAGGCTTTCGTGAATGGAAAGTGGGATCACATGCCACAAATTACTATCAGATGGTAGATAGCAAGGATGACTCCACGGGTAAGTGTATGATATCACCTAATGGTGACTCAATCATTAACAAGCATGTGTTTAAGAACTACTCTGTTCAAAACTTATCACTCTGATTTAATCAATGTAAAAAATTTTCACTGCTTTAGAGGGGAGGGGAGATTTTTTACGGAATAGTGTATGCTTATACAACATTTTAAAAGGAAAATTAAGAAATAATGTATTGTTACAAGTGGCTCTTCAGAATGGTTTCAGTATTTCCACCAATGTAAAAATAATATTTTCACTTTCACCCATTTATTGTAAAATAGTTATACGGAAAGGAAGACATGGTCTGCCAAAGGTTCCCGATCAGGAAACAGAGTTGCGGGCAATAGTCTCGGGTTCGATCATGGAAAGATCTGAGAGATCACGGTTTGATGGGTTATGACAAACCAGTGCGCCCCAGTGTATAGTGTAAGAAGCATATTGATTTTTGCTTTGGTTTGTAGTCATGCCGGTTGTGTTAGACGATTAAATTTATGGGTGGAGTGCTCCTGTTGTTTATATGAGATTTCTTTTTATGCGATGGTAAACTGCCTCGGACAACGCCCAAAACGTCCTGACTATCCCTGTCCTTATACCGAATGACTAAGATTGATCAAGCCCGTTTATTTTGGCGATCCGACAGTAAAACTATTCTTTCGCAAGCGAGGGTGAGCCTTTTTGTTTCCAAAAGATTGATCAGAATATTTTGCACCAAGAAATTCCGCAATACCTGGGGTTTATGTTTTTGATATAAGGTGTCTGCGGTTCAAAATGTTTAGGCAATCGTGAAACGTGACAACCAGGGGTGGATGGGTGAACATGCGGTTAAAAACTGGTCACAGAATTGGCA